CTTTAGTAGTTCATACCATGTCTGGCATAGAATTAATCAGCAAATCCTCATGGTTAAAATGAGATCAAACTTTCTGATGGCTGTCAGTGCTTGAACCAGGACGAAGGCCATAATGTAGCCTGTAACAGACTGCAAGGCTTGTTGTTTTTAGCTGAGCTGATTTCCGGAACTCTTGTGGCCCCTACCGGCCAGTGAAAAGGAGTGAGGAGACAGCCGTCAATTACGGTATAAAACAGTCAATAAACGTGTTTTTCAACAATTGTAAATCACTGCAACCACCGGAGGTCCTTGAGTATTCAGTCACGAATGTACACAGAAAATATTAGGCTGACTGGTCCAGTAGTTTGTGAGATTAGCTGCAGACGGCCAGATACACACACTCACACACACAGACCAGCCAACGATGGTCCCCACCGGGCGTACACCTCGTGGAGATAATGCTAATGGTATTAAGTACTTTCGTAGTTGGGATGTTTGTCATTGTGCTCACATGGAAACGAGCCGGCGTTTATTAGCATGCAAAATAGAAATGCCAATATTTTGCTAACACTTGTTAAAAAACATAAGACTGTTGCATTAGACTGTGTGCAGACAAATGTGAGTGAACTAATATGTGTGTGTGTGTGTGTGTGTGTGTGTAGGCAAGGCAAAGTACTGCCAGGCAGAGGCACTTGTAGACAGAAAGTTTTGCTTGCAGACAGCTACATTTGTTTGCTGAGTGGGTGACATTGTGATGTAAAATGGAAATAATTTTCCGGACTAATGCTTAATGTGTTTGAAAGTTTTTGATTCTATAAAGGAAACATTCAAGGTTTCAGTCATCATAAAAGAAAAAATATGCTCACATCTCTCCTACAACTTCAGATTTGCCCATTTACACTTTCTCATTTTTAAGGTGGCCTGTTTGATGTATTTTATTTTTCTCATGAATAATTTCAGCCTGATGAAAGTGGGTAAGAGTGGGAAATGTGTTGGCATGGTGATAAGAAATTCATTACAAAAATCTCCCAAACATTTAAGTTGATTTTGAAGAATAGAGAACATTAGGATGTGAGAATAATGGAACTCTTCAGACGGTTTGTCTTCTTGTGAGTGGGTGTGTGTGTTTGTTTGTTTGTTCATTGAACCCTGGTTAAAGGATGTTTTCCTGGATTTGCTGTACTGTGTGCTTTGGTATGATGACCTTCATGTATTCTCTTGGTATCTCGAAAGGTATTCTGAGGTGATAGCTCTCCGTTGCTGGGAATATGAGGGGGAGCGGGGGTATGATAAAGTGCAGATGAGATGTTAGGTAAGGCTGTATGTGGGTGGTTGTCTCTTAGGTTGAGAATTTTTCCTGGAAGCTATGGAGGTCACTGTGGGAAACAGGCTGAATGTTTTTCTACCAACACAATGTTGGCAGTGAAATTCCTCTCTGAAGTATTTGTTGCATTCAAATGTGTACAATCCACCCCTCAATCTGCATTAGTATATTAACTATATGCATAGTTATTTGAACTATGTACATAATAAAGGGTTTGAGATATGCTCATTATCATAAGCAGAGTGAAAAGGCAGAGTGATAGATTCATCATTCATTCCTCTGGCGCCACCATGTGTTTTCGCATGTTTGCTTAGTCTTGTAAACAATCAGATTTCTTTTTGCAACCAGTGGAGTCGCCCCCTGCTGGGCATTAGAAAGAATGCAGGTTCAAGGCACTTTGATAATCCCCTGGTTGTGAAAGTGTGCACAGTTTTTCGATGATTAAAGTGCACAACGTAGTGAGTAAAATGTCATAAGCACAAAAATGCTGTCGTAAAACTAAAACACTATTTGCATTGACTAAAGGTTCAGGTCGTTTCATAAAGGAAGCTTTTCGGGTCTAAGTACTTCACGGTTGCATCTTTCACAAGAGCTCCACTTGTGATTCTGCTGCACCACACAGAAGATTATTTGCTTGAAAAACTCCAATTTGTAGTGTTTTCCAGCCACGGGATATAACAAGAAATGATCCAGTGAAGAGCTTTTTGAGGGGCATTAGAGGTTTTGACTTAAAACTGCATTTGGCAACTTAGCACAGGGACCCTGGCTCCAAATGGCAGCGGGGGGTAATTGCTTGAAGGATGAACTTCAATGCCCAGAAGTTATGTAATGTGATGTCAGTAAACTGCAGTCTTTGCTCACTCAAAGGACATGGAAGAAAAGAAGAAAGACAAAACATCTGACATTGATGACATTATATAAGTAGGAGGGGACACTGCCCTACAGTGGAGCCACAGTTAAAGTAAAACCAGGTTTTTACGTGAAAATCTTTTCTTGTGTAGCGTTAAAGTCGACTTATGCAGATCTACTTAGAATGTGACATTCGTAAAATAATGTTTTGGAGTACTTATGTTGGCAAAATGCACAACAGGTAATCTCTATTGACAGATTCTGCATATGTGTGCGACAGGACAAGAGTTTGGTATCGGCAGTATTCTGGTTTCCGCTAGGGGTGGGAATCTCTAGGCACCTCATGATTCGATTCGATTCCGATTCTGAGGGCAACGATTTCGATTATAAAATGATTCTCCATTCTAAAACGAGCCAAGAAGAAAATTTACACTAGATATTGAAAAACATTATTGTAGTAAAGCTGGGAATACATGTCCAGTGCATACAAACTGTATTACTCCATCCTCCTCATCCACAAATCTCAACGGGACTCTCCTGTCCCTCGTCGACCTCCTCGACATTTCTTTTTCAGTATAAAACTATAACTGACTATAACTATCTATGGACTATAAAAACACGAACTAATGCAAAAAGACGAATGATGGCAAAACTATGAACTATGGTGAAAACACGACGAAAACACGGCAAAAAAACACTCAAAAACACGGAATAAAAAAATCAAAAGCTCTCAAAAAACCACAAATACTATTACTTAAACCACTAAATATTATTTACAAAGATAACACCACCCAAACTCCACTAAAACTCACCAAAACTCTGCTAAATCCTCCGACTCTCTCCTCGTCAGCTGTCACTCTCCTCCTGCTGTGCTCACTTCCCTCCCCTCCTTCACAGGTAATGACGTCACGACAGAATCTCGATGCATCTAAAAATCGATTTTTTTCCCCCCACCGCTAGTTTCCGCTGTTAGTCTGTTTATAGTCCAGGTCGTATTCACCAATCACATTTGACTGGTAGATAAACAGTCAGTGCAGAACGGCAGAACCACTGGCTATTGTCTGATGACAGATTACATCTATATTGAGCTGTTATGCCTCCGTACCAGCTGTGGCCGGGTTGTCCGTCTGTCTCACAAACATGATATCTCAATAATGCCTTGGAGGAATTTTTTTCAAAGATACAAACGTATCTTGGACTTTACAATGAACTGATTAGAATTTGGTGGTCATAGGACAAAGGCCACTGTGACCTTGAATACGTCTTGTGAATGTGATATGTCACAACACCGTGTTGGAATTTTTTCAAAGTTGGAACAACTGTCCAGTTGGAGTCCACACTGACCTGCTAATAATTTGGTACTCATAAGTCAAAGGTCTCTGTGACCTCATCCATCTCAATGTCATGAACCCGATATCTCAAGAATGCCAAGATGAAATTTTCTCAAATTTGGCACAAAGGTTGAAGGTCAAAAGTTACTTGGAGCTCCTTCATTTCATTCTTTTGAACGTGATATCTCAGCAACAGTGTGAGGGAATTCCCCTAAATTTGGCACAAACGTCGACTTGGACTAAACAATGAACTGCTTAGAATTTGGTGGTCAAAGATCAAGGTCACTGTGACCTTACAAACAAGGTTTTGGCCAAATCGCAGAGATTCATAATCTAATTATAACATAATTTCACACAAATGTCTAACAGGATAAAATGATTAAGAGATGACATTATATATCCAAAAGGTCAAAGGTCAGCGTGACTGTGACATCATCATGTTTTAACGTCATATCTCAAGAACAGAAGGGGAGACATTTGGTCAGATACTGAATTGGTGACTCTAATCTTGACACTGTGCTGATTGTATAGATCTTTTTTTTTTTATAAATGTCAATAAAAGTCATACAACCATGGGGTGGTAACTGTAGTTTAAATATGTATTGGCATTCATATGCAGATATCTGTTTATAAATTGATAGACATATAGATAGATCCTTTTCTTGTCACTGTGTGTTATACAGTGAAACTTTGTTGGAGCAATCCAGTTAGCAGCACATGAATGTGTACACAGGCACCACCACACACTCACATAAGCTAATCACATCATCCTCATGACCACACACACATTCATATCTATATTTATAAGATATATAATAAATATTAAGTAAAAACAATAAAACAGTAAAACAACAGTTATTGCAGTTATTGTTTATTGAGATTAGCCGAAACAACCAGTGCACAGAGAAAGATATCTTGGCCCGGATATCTGCTGGCTTCACTGGATCAGCCTGAAGTATTGACCCTTGTCCCCAGAGGCTTTATCGTCATCAGACAACAACACAGGCTGAAAACGGTAACTTAAGGCACAAACTTGTATTCTAATCAACGCTCAGAGGACTGCGGTCCCCCCACATCTGCCCACCCCAAAGCTCCCTTTTTAAACAGGGCCACAAAAACCAACTGAGTGAGGATCACCTAGCAAAATGAGGTCATCTCCACACATCCTTTGATCCCTCCATTCTTCATCTCAGAGGCAAGTGGCATATAAGAGGATCTATCTTTGTGAACGGTTTTGAGCCCCCAAAATTACAAACAAACTAAAGGCGGGGGATCGATAGAGTGTGTCTCACAGAATGATGAACTGGCACTTCAGAGGAGGAAAATCAATGTTGCGCTCCCTTTCTCTCCCTCTCCTCCTCTCTCTATCTTTCTCTTTTGGTCCTGAACTCTCTTCACAGCCCTCACACTGCAGTGTTTAAGTGTGTGTGTGTGTGTGTGTGTGTTCACATGTGTGTTGCTTGAAGCGGGGTCCCTCATTGTGATTTAATGGTCCTTTGTTTCTTATTCCTTTTTAGCCTGGAAGACCCCTGCCACTTTGATGTGTGAGCACACCCACCAATAATGGCCCATAGGATACGCAGTGGAAGTAAGTGCTTCTGGTCAGATTTACCGCTTTAGTGGTCCTCCTCCTCCTCCCTCCGCTGCCCCGGTAAACCTCAGCTCATCTGATGCGGACATATTGATCAGTGCAACATGGCAATCTTTAAATCATAACACAGCACTTAACAAAAAATGAAAACATCTATTTATTGCAACACATTCTTCGGACAGTTGACTGCATGGTGTTGCATTTTTATATCCCCAATATGTACAGTCGTGTTGGAGGCAAAGAGAACCTCTGAAAAACAAAAGAAAGTCCACTGTATATCTTAAACATAAAATAAATAAAGTTCCCCAAGGGGAAAATTGAATCCAGGAGCTCTGTCGGAAGTTAGAAATTAACTGTTGTACTGTGGTCATCCGTAAGCATCACAGTCCCAACAGAGGGAAGCGTTACTCAGCTTGGTGTTTCGTGATTTTACTTAAAAGATGTTTTGCAATAAGCAATTGAGGCTTTATGTTGGAAAAAGCACAAAAATGAATCTAAAGTTGTTTTTTGTTGCTCCAAAATCTGCTGCTTGTAATGATGGAATAGGTACAGTATTTGCTTTGAGATTACTTTTCCCCAGAGAGATGGAGTTATCCGATAACTGGAGCGTGATTATCTCAGTTGTTGGGGCTTTCAGTGAGCCGACGCTGGTTGTGGCTCGGCTCAGTGTACACTGTGTTCCTTTGTCTGAATGGGAAATTTACACCAGCTCCCAGCCAAATGTGGTAATTTCTTCTGGGATGGATAACTTTGTCTGCTCTACCAGCAGCAGTGGCAGGTAACCAAGCGTTGTTGGGTAGGCATCTGCAAAGCTGTCCAGACAAAATTTAGAATAAGTGATGGCTAGTGGCATGACTCAAGGGATGGCAGTGTCGGTTGGTCTGTCCAGCCTGCTTTCACCATAAAAACGACCACACAGGTTGACTGTGCCGGCAGCTTATTGTGGCTCATGGAGAGAATGCCAAGAGTGTGGCAAAGGTTGGCTATTTTGAAGAAACTAGAATATAAAACATGTTTTCAGTTATTTCACCTTTTTTTGTTAAGTACATAACTCCACGTGTTCATTCATAGTTTTGATGCCTTCAGTGAGAATCTACAATGTAAATAGTCATGAAAATAAAGAAAACGCATTGAATGAGAAGGTGTGTCCAAACTTTTGGCCTGTACTGTA